ACCCATACCCACACAGCCACAGCCACACCCACATACACACACCCACATCCACACACCCACACCCCACCCACCGCACACCCACACCCACACCCTCATTTTAATAGCAGGGAACATTCTTAAAGAAGGTTTCTTCGTTGGGGAAAATTTCCACTTTTGTGGCACATTCTGCATCTCTAAAACTTCCCCAGTCTGACAATTTTCCAAAAGTTCCCCATTCTAGCAGTTTTCCAAAATTTCCTTGAGTAATTCAAGTTTCCAAAAAATCTCCTCCCCCCGGGGGGGCCGCACAAGGAACATTCTGCACCTCTGATCCAGAAATTTATGAACGTCTTCAATCAAAACTTGATCGTTTTCAATCATCAACTGCTTCAAAAATAATAACAGATTCAACATTTGATGTGTATGGTGATAGTGATATTTCTTCATCTGTAACTCTGAACCAAATTCATCTTCAATTGACACAAATAGTAAAAAGGAATTTTTATTTTAAATAAAAGAAAAACGAATTTTAATTTTTGTGTTTTTTAGCTTCATCTACTATTCTTTGGGAACATATAACAAATGAAAATTTAACAGAAAGTCTTCAAGGTCCATTTACAACTGAACAAATGATTTGTTTAACAAATACTAAAGAAATATTAGATAAAGATAATGTACGGTGCCGTCATGTGGTACAGAACAATTCTATTCAATAAAGCGTATCGATTTTGATTTGTATTTCGATTAAAATTATTGGTTGTAAATAGATGTGTTTTTTCACTTCTCATGCATTCAATAAAAAAATACACACCGACTATCTGAGATTGTCTCCAATATAATCTTCATATATATAAGCAAATTCTCAATTCAGTCTTCCAACATTGTATGAAAAATCCAATGAAAGTCAGATTATAATTTGTTGTGTGGTAGATGAGCCATAAAATTTCATTAGGTTAACATAATTGTTTTTATTTTCGATATTGTACAAAATGAATAAAACTACAGCAATAGTGGCCACTATAATCTATGTGTACTTCATCTCAGACAAAGAGTTATTTACATCAGGGATGACATAGCTCATGGTGATGCCTTCTTATCATGCAAAATTTAACATCTAATTTTATTTTAAAAAAAGTAGTGTTTTTCTGTAAAGATCCATGAGTCGTAGTATTACATCATTGTGTCCACAAACGATACTACCCTATCTTTCTGAAGAATACAGCTAAATCTATAAAAATGAATCATTGTCATAAATTTTTTATCTTTTCAAATAGTCTGTAGAATGTTATCAATATATCTCGTTTTCCAAGGATAAAGAGATGAATTTTTTAATTACTTCGATTGCTTTCGTTTTTATCACTATCAAATAATAGACTTGTATTCTTTCTGATAATATTGTCGGTTTTTCTCTTGAATCAGGACACCGATCCACTGTTTTCATCAATAAATTGATCATATTTAAAGATAAAAATGTCTATGAGAAATAACATTAAAACTCGAGTCATATTTTCAAAAAGAGAAACGAAAATGTAATCAAACTTCGACTATATTTTATCTTTCAAAAGTCATAAATAACTTTCGAATGAAGATATTAGATTCAATCCGAATAGAAACTATTAAAGTTATTTTTTCAGATTGAATTTATTATGAAATTGACTTTTATGCTGGCAAAAGACATTGTATTTTAGATATTTTAGGCATAACAATTAATACATAAAATCATTATATACTTTTTTGTTAGTCATTAGAATAAAACAAATGAGTACAGTTTTTAATTCATGAATAGTTTGACAAATTCAAGATGTTCTCTCATCATCATAAAATGGTCATTTTCTGATAAGATTTCTTTCAAGATAATGATTATCTTAATTCAAATTGACTTTTCTATTTTATTTTATACATAATTTATTAATTAACATTACATTGTATGAAATATGCCTAACTTTGGAAAAAAGTTTACATGAGTACTATTGGGATAGGTCCATAGTTCAACAATAATAAGAGTTTCAACTTTTGAACAATTGTCTTTAACTTGTTGTTGATTTTGATTAATTATTGTTAACAATACATCATTACGAATGACAAGTTCGATTAGACATGGAAGATAAGTTCGATATAGAAGTTGTTCAGCATAATCCGCATGAATATCATGCAAAATAAGCGTTGCTAAATGACGAAATTCAATAGAATTATTTGTCGTCGTACTTTTTTCTTCTTGTTCAAGAAGATTGAATACTTCAAGTACTTTAAGATGAGGTAAAGCTTGTGTAACACGTTGAAAAAAACCATGTTCAAAAGGTTTGACATCATCAAAAAGTAATAACATAGTAACATTTGAAAATCTTTTTTCAACATCGAATAATGGAAATCGATTCGAAATAAAGTCGAGACGAGTACCAATAAATGGAAGAGAATAGATTTGACATTGACCATATCGATTATTAAAATAATCAATTGTACAATCAATAGATTGTTGATATTGAAAAACACTTTGACGAATTTTATCGAGTTTTATATGAGCAGCATCTTTTAAAATTGAACGAATATGAAAATCAAACTGGCATAAATGAGACATATATGAAATAATATCTCGTTGTAAGTCCAATCCACCAATAAAGTGATTTGGTCCATTTTCATTTTCACCGATAGCTAATAATAATGTTAAATGTTCGACACTTGATAAACGTTGTAAAAAAGGAATAATACATTGTTCATACTCGAAAATATTTCTATTTATTGTCATTTTTTAATTCTTTCAAATTAGGACAAGATATCTAAGTTAAATAAAAAATTATATAAAATTACACCAAAAAAGTGACTTACCAATGATATTTGTGATAAATCTAATTCTTCAGATAGATAGACGTGCATCATGCTCACAACGAATGAATGTAATTGTGCTCCTATTTGATTCAATAAACGAACACAATCGCCGAATTGATGAAATGTAATACTAATATGAGTAAGATGAAATGCTTGAGGAAAGAACAATTTTTCATCACTTGATGGAATGGATATAACACAATCAGGATCAAATTCAAACGAGTTAATTAATGACATTATTGGTGAATGACAGTAGAATGAAAGTATATCACTAAGTTTCTGAGAAAGATCGAAAAATTGAGGTATGTCTGAGAATAGAGAATAACGCCGTACCTCGTCATCACTATAAAAGTCTAAAAATACACAAATCAAATAAGTTTTCGATCCATATAAATCCAAAAATTATGAAACTAATTTATCATCTGTTCATAGTATTCAAACATAAACATTATCTATTCATCTTAGATGAATTTTATTCATCATATTAAAAAGTGACATTGAAATTTCAGTAGTAGAACTTCTAGAAAAAAATTCATTTGAACGAAATCGAGATAAAACGATATTCAGCTGTTTGATTTTCTATACTGAAACTATGTTATAGAATCGAAAATATACTCAAACATAAATTCTTTTTCAATCATCAGGATTAGATTTCCAAAATCCTGAAATTATAAATTAAGTCGATTCTTGTCTAACGAGGTATGTATATTCAAATAAAAAGAGAACAATTATGTATAACTTACTTAATGTGATAGGTGTTCCTGTATTACGATGCCAACGGCCGGCCATTATTTTTAAATGCTTTAAATTATTGAGACAACTTTTATCATCAATTCTTTTAACAAGCTGATAAAGACTTGGTATATGTACAAGATTGATTGCAAGTGATTCAATATAATTAAAAATACATAGTAAAGTAGATAATATGAATTCTTGAATAATCATTTCATATGGTGAACCAAAATAATCAGAGGTTAGATCGATCGAATGACATTGATCAAGAGCAAGTTGTTCCAAATGAATATTTTTGGTACCAATCATAGAATAGAGTAATACAGCTCGAGGTTGGATTTTATTCATAATGGATAAAATTATCTCATCTGGTAAGTCGAGCAAGCCGACATGATTTTCTATACACAACAATAGAGCAAAATATTTATATTAATAAATAGTTAAATAGTTGTGCTTGATAAGCAGGTCATTGTTTATTTGACGTATCGGTGAGAATATTGAACATGTGCAAATTTATTTACATATATATACATATATATAGAAGCCTTTCCGCTTCACGATTATTGTCTTGAAATGACCGTTAATAATAATCGGCCAAATTTCAGACCAAATACTGAAGCGATCAGAATGAATGTGAATATGAATGGGTTATCATCGGTCTCAATCATATTCTGCTTTTTGATCGCTTCGCTTTAGTCAATGTCAATAACGAATATCAAATGAACTTATGCACGCAGTTTCAATCAAATGTCAGAAAAAAAATCGAGAAAAAGGCATAAAAAGAGAAGGTAGATTTAATGGATAGATTTTATTTTTGCAAAAGTTGAGTCCAACGAAATGATGGCGCTATACTACACGCACATTTTCATGATACTATACAAGCAATTTAGTTAAGAGTAACCATCGTCGAGAAATTGGCACTTCAAAGAATTCAATAATCATATATGAATTAGATATAAATAGCTTGAAATTACCATGAAATTCAATCAATTCAAGAAATGCAATAGAATTGCTTGAATTTCTTGATTTCAAAATTAATATCGATAGTGACGGTGAGGATATCTTTCTACCAAATATTTGAATGGAATTCAACGAATTCAAGAAAAATTCAGGAATTTCATGGTAATGTCAAACTGTATATTTGTAAGTTATACAAGATGATTGAATTTATTGAATTCCTTGAATTGCCAATTGCTGGATCGTGGTTATAACTCCAACTAAAATGTTTTAATTATAAATTAATTTACTTGTTGATTGTCCATTATGTGATTTAAATTTATCGCAATTTGTTCTAAATTCTGCTGAAAAAAAACCAAAGGAAAATATAATTTAATTCGTGTTAGTAATCATATTGGTGGTTTAGATGGTGGATATTATACAGTACATGCAAAAACAAATATTAATGATTATAAATGACATTCATTTGATGATTCATATGTATCAGATATTGATAAAAATAGTGTAGTAAGTAAAGCAGCTTATGTACTTATTTATCAACAAAAAGAGGAATCATCACAACAACAATAATAATCATGATCAGAAAGTGAATACGCGATTAAATGAAATGTTGATTTATTTATTTTTTTGTTCATTATTGTTCTTGATGAAAGTTTTCATCATTTGTCTTTTCTTTCGAATAACCATGCTAATTCAATCAAGGCTTGCATGAAAAAATTTTCATACTATTTTTTTCATATTCTTCCATTGACATTTATCTACTTAAAATAATTCCTGAACATCAATAATATTCTTTTTCTTTTAAATTACATCTGTTTGTTTACAGATTATTCAATATTAATGATCCAATAGCACGACGAGATCTTGATGATCATTGTTAAGAAATAATTCATTTCCAAATATTAGTACAACTTGTATAAATGATGCTTCACCAGCATCAAATAAACAACCATATAAATTTGGTGAAGGAAAGAAGAATTTTTATGTCCTACCTGATTCAACTGATTATAATCAATATGCAAGATGTTCAGAATGTTTTACACAAGCATTACAAGCAATAATTTATTTTTTTTTGTTTTTGATCTTTACTATTCATGTATGATTAGATTTATCTGCCTGATTTATTCAGACGATCATCAATCCGAAAAATTAAATTTGGTATTGTGATTTGTTGGAATTTTTAACAAAAAAGATTTCATTAATATTATTTATTTCTAGTTATATGATCTAAATAATTTTTCATTAAATGAACATTTACTTAAAAGTCATCATGCTTTTGCCAATAATCGGTATGAAGCCTTAATTTTATTCATACAATTAAAAACAAGTGATCTTTTGTTTTTTTTAGTTATGGTGATTTAACATTTTGTGAACAAATTGAAGATGATTATAATAATCAAAGTCATGCATTATTTTTGGTTTAATAATAAAAGTATGATAATAATCTTTATAAAAACTGAACTAAATATTATCTTTATCCTTTAATTTTATCATGCATTACCATCGTATTTAAAATTTAATGAATAATTTAATTCTTTGTTCAAAAATTTCTGATCGAAAAAGTGCTGGAAAATTTGGTATATCAATATATAGTCATCCATTTACATTAAATAGTGATTTATTATCTCAACAATCACTTGAATCACATATATCAGTGTTGCAATCACTGTTTTATGTACATATACATTTATACCAGCTGCTGTTATTCTTTATCTTGCTCGAGAATATGTGACACCAGAGAAATGTTTAATATTTATTTGTGGAGTAAAACCATTAGGTAAAAAAAAATGTTTTTTTTTCTTTCAATAATTAAATGAAAAATAATTTTGTTTATTGGTTATCAACATTTATTTGAGATTTAGTTTATTATTTAGTTTTAATCAGTTTAATAATGGCTTTAATTAAAATATTTAATATTTCAGCATTTAATTCACCTGTTATGATAACTCAAGCAATATTTTGATTATTGTTTCTATATGGTTGGTCATCAATACCATTAGTTTATTGTCTTGTTCGATGTTTATAAAATACAGGTACATCATTTATGGCTGCATTTTGTCTTTGATTGTTTTCGGGAATGATAAAATATATAGCAGATTTAATGTTAACATTATATTCATGGGTGTCTGGTATAGTACGTGTTCAATCGATTTTATCACGTATTTTTCTCTTATTTCTACCTTGATAAAAACACGTTTCGAATAAACAATTTCAGATGTGTATAGGCCTTCTCTTTTCTTTCTGTGAGAAAATTTAGATAAAAAATGTACATGTTGTTCGATGGCATAACGTCCTATAAAAAGAACAGAAACTTTCACACATTTTAGTTCTATGTTTAAATCTACGATCAATTCACGTAGCAAATTCATAATCTGTTCGTTGCATAAGTCTGCTAAAATAGTATCAATGAATCAGAGATTGAACATTGACCTACATTTATCAATAGGAGTCATTTCTCTTTTTTTATTTGAACATTATCTTAAAAAGATTTGTCTTGGAATTTCCTTTCAATGATTATTCTCGTTTATCGAAATATAGTTCTAATCATTGAAAGAAGTGAACATTATCTCCTATTTTGCTTTAATATGATTCGTAAAATGATAGAACTTCATTTAACAAAAGATATCAATTGGAATTCTGCTATAGGGTGAAATAGTTTGATTAAAATAATTATGAAAAAATGTTTAAAATGATGAAAAGTGATAAAAATTCTATTGAATGGTCATTTGAAATGATATTCCATCTTATAATAATGATAAATGAATTTGGTAAATAAAGTTAGGCTACTCAGAGTGAGAGGAAAGTTTCAACGACTTCAATATTTGGGAATATTGAAGGCACAATTCGAGAGATTGAGTAATTCTTCAATTTAGTTTTGAAGAATAACGTTTGCTACAGAAAATCATATCGAAATAATGAAAAATCTTTGCTGTATGGCCTTGTTTTAATTAAAATAAGAGCAGAATAACTAAATGTCTCTTGGAATCAGCACCAAAAAGACAAATTTTTGGTTATATTTGGCAAAAAACTAAATTATCAAGGAATTTTCCGATAAAATTTCAAAAGATGACTTTGATGAATGCACAAGTAACAGAAAAATTTTGATTCCCTGCCATAATCAGTTAGACTCGACTTTGAATAGAATACACTGTTTTCAAGAATATTTTTCAAAAAAACTTAGTTCAGAAGAATAAAAATATTTCAAGACACGTTCGAAATAAAAGAAAAAGACTGTTGGTTATATGACATTATTCGGATTTTTTTTCCGAATATAAACTAAATGATGATGTTGATGATGGCATAATCTTTGAATTGAAAATAAAAGATCTCTGATCTGAAAATTATATAACAGTTATGAGAAGAAGAAAAAATAATTGATCAAATGTGATAGTTTCTTGTCTTTTTTTGTAATCAGAGAGAAATATCCTTTTCTTTATCGTTTAATTTGTTTCTATCCTATTGATAATAATACGGAATTATCGAATTCGATCTGATCTTCAGATGATGAAAATAATAAGAAAAAAAGTAAATTCTCTTCAAATATGATTTCTATTCAATTGATTTTCACTCATAAAAATTAAAGAAAGCGTTATTTGTATAATCAATATTGATGATCTCATCTAGAATTCTTTTCATATCAATTGAACAATCTTCTTTTTCTTTTCTTTTAGGTCCTTATTACTCTATTAAAAAGAATTTCTTCTTCTTCAAATATTCAATGTTACTAATAATCTTTGACTAGAAAAGACAAATTAAGAAAGATTCGAATTTTCCTCAAAACAAGAAGAATACTTCGGAGAATTTTTCAAAGAAAAGTTATGAAGAAAAAAGAAAAGATTGTTGATATTAGATTGTTC